AGAACATGGAGACTCCACGCAGGAAGATCCCGGGTGTCCTCACCGGGACGCCAACCGGCGACCTTCTAGCTGTGAGGCGCTAACGGTGCTAACCACTGATCCACCTGCAGCCCAGAACTTTGTGATGCTGATTTAAATTCAGTTTCAGATGTTTTTCAGTGTCACACCAAAGTGCTCATTTTATTTTCTCTGAAGATTCCCTCTCCAACACAATCACCACAATCATTCTGGAATAAATTGTTCTTTACAGACTTTCTCAAGTCATGTATGGAAAATTCCTCGATTGTTTTTTAATATATGTGAAAGGAAAACTAAACGTGCAGAGTCCGTTTATCTCTAATGAAAACTGATCATATTTAGAGTCAGACAGCGGCGACAGGAATCATGTTCTCCTGATGTCTTTAAACACAAACGTGTGCATCTCAACATACATGATGTGAAATTGTCTGCTTTCAGGAACCTTCATCGTTCTGACTCATTACGGTGGTATTTCATTGGAGCTGCGGTTGGTCTGCAGGTGAGGACTGAAGAACCAGGATGTTGAGGAGGAAACCAACTCGTCTGGAGCTGAAGATTGACGACACAGAAGAGTTTGAGAGCGTCAAGAAAGAGCTGGAGGTTCACACTGCTCATTCACCCTGTAGAACACACAGCTGGTGCTGCTACCTGTAGACCACCTGAGACTACCTGTAGACCACCTGAGACACTCTTGTTGCTCTGATATCCTAAACAAACTGAGCTGCAGATCAATATTTACTGATCATATTCGTTCATACAGATCTGAATATGAATTTAAACATGAATCATGCAGAGTCTGAACTCGTGAATTGTTCTCACAGCATTACACATATCATCAATACTGATCAGATCAATCAGCTGATCATAGTTCTTTGTTTTTGTTATTTTCAGGCCAGAAAGCGTCAGCGGGAGGAGGCAGAGTCAGGAGGCGGTGTGGACGGTGCATCCGTCATCAGTGTTGACATCATTGGGGGCGGAGCCTCTGCATCAGCATCGTCGTCCACGGCAGCAGCAAGGGCGGAGCTTATCAACGAGCGGATCGGCTACAAACCCCACCCCAAACCAGCAACACTGCCGACCTTATTTGGAAGTTTACAGTTTTAATAAACATGAAAGCAGTTTGTTTGTTTGTATGTTTGTTTGTTCCAACAGTCAGAACTAATCCGACCTGAGCTTTAACTCACAGCCAACCAGTCAGAAAGTACTGGCAGTAAAAATACTGCAGTGTTACAGTACCTGCAGTAACAGTACTATATCATTACAGCATCTGCAGTTATAGTAATGTAATATTGAGGCAGCCATGTGTTTTTTAGTGGGTTTTCCATTTAACTGCGGTTCTGGTCTCACTGCTTGATACGTTCCAGCAGAAAATGTTCCAGCGGAACTATTTTGAGGGACGACAGCAGCTGCGTCATTCACTTAGTTCTGCCCATGATGACTGTGATTGGTTCAGAGAAACAGTTGTTCTCCTCCAGCAGAACGATAGTGAGGCGCAGCAGAACCTTCTATTCTATGGAATCAGCTGGCAAAACAAAGTACAGTAACTGTAGTGAAAGTAGTGCAGTATAAAAGTACTGAAGGATTACAGCATGGCTGCCAAACTCAACGACACCGCTGGGCCACAATAAAAAACTGTGATTAAGCCGCAGACCAGACTCAATTGACAAACTGACTACAGTTGTTTTCCCTTCTCTCCACATATATTATGATAAACTTTTTCAAACTTAAGTTCTGCCTAAACGCTGAATCTGGAACAGACAAAGCTGAATATTATGAACACACAAGAAATCAAGCTGCTAATAAACGTCAACAGTAGGGGGAGTGCACGCCTGCAGGTCTTCATCACACTCGCAAAGCATTCTGGGATGTGTAGTATTAGCGATGGATGCACTGTATACTGGCAGGCCATTACTAACAGACATTTGATATTATCCCATCCATCCATCATCTCTACATCCTCACTAGGGTCATGGGGGGCAGAGCCTATCCCAGCTGACTCAGGGTGAAGGCAGGTTCACCTGGACAGGTAACCAGTCTATCACAGGGTTACACTTTGAGACAGACAACCAAGCACACCGAGCCACCTGCAGCCGTTTGAGATTATCTCCAAATATAATTCCACTGCGAGCCAGACTTGGTCCGATCTGACACCTGTGGATTACGGCATCTGCAGTATTACAGTATCTAAAGTATAATCGTTGTGCTGTATGTGGCTACTGATGCAGTACTACATGCAATCTGATCAGATTATTGATTACACCTGATCAGTCAGCTGATTCCCAACGTGGGGTTCAGGGGCCTGAAAGGGGCTCAGAGCCAGAAACTGCAGTAACAGTACTATAAAATTGAAATGAGGTAAAAGTATTTCAATCGTGTCATCCAGTAGTTCACTAAATCATACAGATGATGTTGTTTACATATTTAAAATAAAAACATTCTAGATCATTGAAATATTCGAAATATTTTTTATTTTCGCTTTGTATGTTTAATTTTCATAATAAACGATACAATAATAATAATTTTATAAAGAGTTTAAACAAATAGAAAACACAGACGATTAGTGTTTATTTACAGTAACAGTCAGTAGGCGGAGCTTCGAGCTCTGACATCACCATCAACGTTCAGGCTCCACCCTTACGCAGTCCAGGAAGTGATGCCGACCAATCAGGACTCACAGTTCAGTTCGTTTGTAAATAAGTGAGTTTCCACAAGAACCAGTAGCTAAACAAAGTGCTGGTGATGTTTAACTGGCTATTGGTTGAGTTCACTGATTGGTCAAAATAAGGCTTCAGGTGGGCGTGGTCTGTGATGATTGACAGCTGTTTCTTCAAAATGAAGGTCAGTTTACCTTTAAAGTCAGAAAGTAAAACTAATAAAAACAATAAATAAAAATCAGTAAAGATAAAAAAATAAACTGTTTAGTGTTAGGAGCTGATTGGTTCAAAGTGAACAGATCTGTTGCCATGGTTACAGGTGAGGTGGCGTGAAGAGGATGTGGCTCAACATCTTCAGTCTGCTTTTGACAGGGTTAGCAAACTGACACGTCGTAAAATTAAAACAAATACAGACCAGCGCTGAAGCGTCATGAAACTATCATGTTTTCTGTTTTACTGTTTGTTTCAGTTTCAGTGTTTGTTTGCCACGTGTTTATTGTTTTAGTGTTATTGTTTGTATACGCTTTGTTTACTCTTTCAGTGTCTGTTTATGGTCTGAGCTTGTTTACTGCACTAGTGTCTGTTTACTGTTTATTATTTTAGTGTTTACTTTTTGTTCACTGTGTTTACCATTTCAGTGTTGTTTACAGGTTGTTGTTTTGCTGTTTGTTTACGGTTATAACTGACTTTAATTTGATGCTAAACCATCCGTGCTAACCTGCAGCTCCATGCTAACCTCCATGTTAGTAATCATCTGAGTGAAGACAATACAAAAGCCACGCCCACTTGGCGGACACGCCCACGTACTCACCACGCCCATTTTGTATTAACATAAATAAAAGTGTCTCCTGCTGATGACATCACTTCCTGTTGGTGACATCACTTCCTTTTAATGGAAGCAAGGTCTCGCTGCAGCTCTGAAAACTTGGGTCGGTCTTCAGGGTTGTACTGCCAGCAGCGCTGCATCACTTTGTACACATCGTCAGGGCAACGTTGAGGACACGCCATCCTGTAACCTAGCAACCAGGGGGACAGGATGGGGTACCATGGTTACTGCACACGTACTTGAAAACAGTCAGAACAAACAATGTTTCAATGGTATTTATGAATCACATGGTCATGTGTTTTTAATGAACCAATCACAGCTCTTCTCTACCTTTCTCCACCTGCTCCCGAGCCTGCTGATTGGTCATCCCAGGATACGGACACACCCCCAGACTGAAGGTTTCCCACAGCAGGATGCCGTAACTCCACACGTCACTCTCTGAGCTGTAACGACCTGCAGCAGCCAATCACACAGCAGGAGACAGTGAGCAGCCAATCACAGAGCAGGAGACAGTGATCATCCCTATGATCCCTATTGGATTGCACAAACAAACTCGTTATTGAGGGCCTCAACATGCTCCAACAGTCAGGAAAATTCTCACACACATCAGGACTGGTTACAACTGTCATATTTCATGGGCCTTGTGAATGTGTGACTCAAAATGGCTCTATAGCGCCCCCTACAAAATTTGCACATTTGTAACATCTCCTACAGCCCGGACATTGTACGTACATTCACAGAATTTTGTGGGCATATGTAGCTCATCAGGGCGCACAAAAAGGTCAGTGACAGCCATACCCTAACCCCAACAGGAAGTCGGCCATGTTGGATTGTTCGTTTGTCCACCCTGAGCGACCTCCTTGTAGGGGGAACGTCTCAGAGTGCTGAAACTGAGACAGCGTGTAGATAAACTGTGGCTCCTATCTTCCCCAAACTTCATACTTGTGATCAAAGTCCCATCCTGAAGACATCTACATGCCAAGAATCACTAACAGTCACAACGCCACCTGCTGGAAACAGGAAATGACCTGTTGACGTCCTACTGTTAGCCCGTTGGTCATATTAGCATCAGACTTGGTGCCATGAGCCTGAACACATTGATGAGTCGATTTTTCACCATGAAAACTCAGATGTTCGTATCTCATCTGCAGATGATCCAATCTGGCCCAAATCACACATGATTGACAAGAGTCCATGTCTGAAGACATCCACACTGTAAAACTGACTCACAGTCATAGCGCCACCTATGGGTAACAGGCTGTTTGAGGCATTATACTTCCACGTGCCATTGCTCCAAACTTTGTGATATCATTCTTTAAATTGGTCAGCTAAGTCTTCCCATGTTGACGATGCTGCAGTGCAAAGCTCTTGCATTCTGAAGCAACAGTGTTGCCATGGCGACGCATAGTTACTTTGAGACAGAAATGACTTTTTGACAGCTTTAGAATGCTCATAAACTCATCAAAATTGGCATACGAGTCACTATCGGCTCAATGACAGACAACGTGTGCCTGTTTGGAAAAATGGCTCTATAGCGCCCCCTGCAGCAATTTATCCATTAGCCCCCGCAGGTCATTTAACCGACGTTTACAAAAATTGGTAGGCATATGTAACACATCAGGACGCACAGAAAAGCCTCTTGGACCCATACCGTAAACTCAACAGGAAGTCCGCCATTTTGAAATAACTGTGTAATTTTTGGTGATTTCTGTCATAGAGCGAACTCCTCCTCGGTGTTAACTCCTACACGCCTCAAATTTGGCCAGTGCATACAACAGGGCTTGGTGATCAAAAGCTGTCAAAACGCTCCGCAAAAGTCTGGGGGCGTGGCCATGGCAGCCCTCTGAATTGTGATGATTCGCCATCACAAAGGAAGCGTGTCTAACGACCCTGTACACGCTCCAATCTGCCTCAAACTTTACATACTTGATCACAGTCCTGCCCTAATGAAACCCATATGTCAATATCCATTCACAGTCATAGCGCCACCTGCTGGCAATGGGAAAGGACACGTTTTACACTTGTATCTGCTATTATTAGCCAGTCGGCCATACTGACCTTAAATGTGGTTAGGCTCACGGTTATGTGATTGTCACTGTGCACAGAGCGCATTTCTGCCACAACCCCGACGTGGACACGCGTGGAAGTGCGAGGTGCGTTCAGCGCTGCTTGCAGCTTTAATTATTATTATTAGGGTCCGAGGACCCCTGCTTGCTAGGGGTCCGAAGGGCAAGGACCCTATTTATTATTGGCTGCTGATGATTAAATGTTCAAATAACAACATCAAATTTTGTTCAAAAGTCACATGATGAGTGATTTTAAGTAGGACAGGTGTTGGACAGGTGATACCATAGTTCAGAGCCTCAGGTGCGGTCCATTTGATAGGAATCTGTTTGAGTCCAGATGAAGAATAAACTCCGTCATCCTCCTGACGAGACATCCCGAAGTCACTGATCTTCAACACACTGCTGTCCCCCACTAGGCAGTTCCTCGCTGCCAGGTCCCTGACAGACAGACAGGATGTTAACGTGGTAACTACCTGAGTTAACCTGCTCGTTAACCTTTAGTTACCTGTGGATGCAGTTCTTGCTCTCCAGGTAAGCCATTCCTGCTGCAGCATCAACTGCGAAGCGCAGCAGCTGCTTTGTCTTCAGCTCGTCCTTCCTCTTCCTCAGAAAGGACAGGAAGTCTCCACCTGGCAGACGCAATGAAGTCTCATTAAACACACCTCTCACAAACTGACCAATAAGAAACCTCAACCTGACAGTAAGCTCCACTCACCAGGAACCAGCTCCATGACGATGTAGATCGGCTGACGCTGCGTACAAACACCAATCAGCTTCACGATATTCGGGTGGTCGTACTGCTTCAGGATCCTGCAGTCAATCACACACAAGCACAGTGAGACTCCACAGGTACCCCTTTTCCACCCAGAAGAACCAGGTGCTAGTTCAAGAGCTTAGTTGGTTCACATCTGCCACCTCCTGAGAACCAGTTGCTTTTCCATCAGCCAGGAGTCCAGTCAGAGCCGTACATCACTGCATACGGAGCTGTTTACCGAACAGCGCTGGCGCCACACAGAAGTCCACACAGGACTCCAGACTGACTTTGTTACCGGTGTGACCCACTTTCTCATCTGGTCGCACTTCCCACCTGGTCACAGACAAAACATCTGACCTGCTGAACATGTTCTCATCCATAGACGCTACAGTTTACGATGTTCCCTGAACGCCCCACATAGCAGGCTGCACTAGCTGAGGCTGGTGGGACACAGTTGGACAGTGAAACAGTTTGTGCAGAACTTCTGTGGGTCCCTGGACTCATTCAGTACATCTGTGACCGGACCAGAGACGTCCTGGTGAACAACGACACAAATCACCTCTTGTGTGTCCCATTCATCGGTCCCGGTGGTCCTGATAGCCCCGCCCCCAGCCCCTGACGTACTCGGTGCTTAGCTCTGGCCCAGCAGAGACTTGGTGCCTGAAAAGCTCCAGTTCTGAGAACATGGAGCCGGTGCTTAGGCGGTGGAAATACAAAGAACTGGTGCTAAGTCAGGCTCTGAACCAACACTAGAACTGGTTTGGTGGAAAAGGGGTAAATGAGTTTGTGTTGTTTGTGTTTGTTTGATGTCTGTGTGTGTATTTTTGTAAGTGTGGCTCACCTGGCCTCGGACAGGAAGCGGATCTTCAGCTCAGGAGGTAAATCCTCTTTACACGTTTTAACAGCGACCGGTGTTTTGTCGCGCTGCAGCGTCCCTTTGAAGACCTCGCCAAAGTTACCCTGCAGAGCATCATGGGACATGGAGGCACACAGGTGAGGGTCAGGTGAGAGTCAGGTTATAGACAGGTGAGGGCCAGGTGAGGGTCAGGTTAAAGACAGGTGAGGGACAGGTGATGGTCAGATGAGGGACAGGTGAGGGACAGGTGAGGGTCAGGTTAAAGATAGGTGAGGGACAGGTGATGGTCAGGTGAGGGACAGGTGAGGGACAGGTGAGGGTCAGGTGAGGGACAGGTGAGGGCCAGGTGAGGGACAGGTGAGGGACAGATGAGGGACAGGTGAGGGACAGGTGAGGATCAGGTGAGGGTCAGGTTAAAGACAGGTGAGGGACAGGTGAGGGACAGGTGAGGGACAGGTGAGAGTCAGGTGAGGGACAGGTGAGGGACAGGTGAGGGTCAGGTGAGGGTCAGGATTTAAGACAGGTGAGGGTCAGGCTAAAGACAGGTGAGGGTCAGGCTAAAGACAGGTGAGGGTCAGGTTAAAGACAGGTGAGGGACAGGTGAGGGTCAGGTTAAAGATAGGTGATGGTCAGGTGAGGGCCAGGTGAGGGACAAGTGAGGGTCAGGTTAAAGACAGGTGAGGGACAGGTGATGGTCAGGTGAGGGACAGGTGAGGGACAGATGAGGGACGGGTGAGGGACAGGTGAGGGACAGGTGAAGGTCAGGTTAAAGATAGGTGAGGGACACGTGATGGTCAGGTGAGGGACAGGTGAGGGACAGGTGAAGGTCAGGTTAAAGATAGGTGAGGGACACGTGATGGTCAGGTGAGGGACAGGTGAGGGACAG